CGGCTCACTGCAAGCTCCACCTTGGGTTCACACCATTCTCCTGCCTCAGCCTCCCGAGTAGCTGGGACTACAGGCGCCTGCCACCACGCCCAGCTAATTTTTTGTATTTTTAGTAGAGATGGGGTTTCACTATGTTAGCCAGAATGGTCTCAATCTCCTGACCTCATGATCCACCCACCTTGGCCTCCCAAAGTGCTGGAATTACAGGGCCATGGCTTCTTAACATTACCATGGAATAGTCGTGACCTCATAAACTTCCTGAAAGGGTCTGGGATGCCCCAGGGGTCCCTGGACCATTTAAAAAACTGCTAGTTTAGGCTGGGCGTGGTGGCTCATGCCTGTAATCCCAGCGCTTTGGGAGGCTGAGGCAGGTGGATCACAAGGTCAAGAGATTGAGACCATCCTGGCCAACATGGTGAAACCCTGTTGCTACTAAAAATACAAAAATTAGCGAGCATGGTGGTGCACACCTGTAGACCCAGCTACTCGGGAGGCTGAGGCAGGAGAATAGCTGTAACCTGGGAGGCGGAGATTGCTGTGAGCTGAGATCACACCACTGCACTCTAGCCTGGCAACAGCAAGACTCCGTCTAAAGCAAAAAAACAAAAACAAAAACAAACTGCTAGCTTAGAACAAGTCCTGTTTCCTGGAAGGCATTCAGTAAGTGTTTTCTAAATGAATTAATTCCAAAATGACTGTCCAGTGGGGCCCACACTTGGACGGATTTGTAAGCTCTGATGCATCGTGTGGTTTGTTCTTGGGCCTTAACACCTGTGTCCACTTCTCCAGAGGTTGTGATGTGTCCTGGCCTCAGTGCTCCTCTGTCCTTCCCGTGACAGGTGTCCCTGTGAACAGCAGAGTGTCCTCCAAAATCCAGCAGCTTCTTAACACCCTGAAGAGGCCAAAGCGCCCTCCATTGAAGGAGTTCTTTGTGGATGATTTTGAGGAATTGTTGGAAGGTAAGAGTTGTCCAACTTTGAGCTTTTGTGTTTGTATGAAAAGGGTGGCCATGAAGTTGAGAAACAGGGCAAATATATATTATACAGGGTTATTGCTATGTATATTCTGTTTCCAGACTCAGTGGTCACTGTGTATAATGGTAAATTTAGAATCACATGACTGCTTCCTTTATTTGAGCAGGTAGAAAATTTACTGCTCATATTCAAGTGACTTAGCATTTTGTAAAAATACTTCTAAGGTTTTATTTAACTTACATTATTTAAATTTTTAATTTAGACTTTAACTCTGAAATACTCATCTTGTGGTTTTAAAGTGTTCAATTTTCAGCATAGATTTGGCTGCTTTTCAGAATTTAGCCTCATATATGAATGAAATACATATTTAGAAAGAAAGAATATACATATATTTTTTAAAAAGAAAACTAGCAAGAAGCAGAAACCAGAAATGAAGCCAGTACAAGCATGTGAGTGTGTTGTTAGAGCCACGGGACCCCCATGCTGGTCCCACTCTCAGACCTTGGCTGTTTGTACAGTGTCACTGCTGGCAGCAGACCAGCCCAGGGTCTTCTGCACACCCGAGGATTAGACAAAGGTTTTAGGAGATTATTTCCCCTTTGTAATCAGATAGTGTGTATTAGTCAGGGTTCTCTAGAGGGACAGAACTAATAGGATAGATGTATATATATAAAGGGAGGTTTATTAAGGCATATTGACTCACACCATCACAAGGTGAGGTCCCACAATAAGCCGTCTGCAAGCTGAGAGCAAGGAAGCCAGTCTGAGTCCCAAAGCTGAAGAACTTGGAGTCCAGTGTTCGAGGGCAGGAAGCATCCAGCACAGGAGAAAGGTATAAGCTGGGAGGCTGGGCCGGTCTAGTCTTCCCACATTCTTCTGCCTGCTTTTGTTCTGGCCACACTGGCAGCTGATTAAATTGTGCCCACCCAGATTGAGGGTGGGTCTGCCTTTCCCAGTCCGCTGACTCAAATGTTAATCTCCTTTGGCAGCACCCTCTCAGACACACCCAGGAAGAATACTCTGCATACGTCAGTCCCATCAGGTTGGCATCCGTATTAGCCATCACGCAGTGCCTTTCAAATTCAGAGTTTGTTGGTGTGAATGCATCTTAGAGCAGTGTTTCTTACCACTTGGGCAAATTTTGGTTATACAGCTCCTGGAAGAAGATTAAAGTAATTCTTTTTAAAGTAAAAAACAAGATTAAAGTAATCTTTTTCCGGGAGCTATATAATCAAATAATCCTTTTTTTTTTTTTTTTTTTTTTTTTTTAGAGACAGAGTCTTGCTCTGTCACCTAGGCTGGAGTGCAGTGGTGTGATCTCAGCTCACTGCAAGCTCCACCTCCTGAGTTCACGCCATTCTCCTGCCTCAGCCTCCCGAGTAGTTGGGACTACAGGCGTCCACCACTACGCCCGGCTAATTTTTGTTTTTTTTAGTAGAGATGGGGTTTCACCATATTGGCCAGGATGGTCTCGATCTCCTGACCTCATGATCCACACGCCTCAGCCTCCCAAAATGCTGGGGTTACAGGCATGAGCCACCACGCCCGGCCTATAATCATTTAATCTTTTATGTGTTTTTCTTTGAATATGGTGATAGTTGTTTGGATCCCTAGGCTGACGTGGTGTTTCTGCTTGCTTTCCTCCTGTCTGAGTGGGCCACCAGGTCCTGTCCCCAGGCTACGGATACCTGGCTGTTCACTGCTGTGGTGCCGGGGGTAGTAGAGGTGACACAGACCTGTCCAGAGGTTGGGAAAGTGGGAACCACTCCAAGGTCACCTTTGTCTGTGAGGCTGTGGTCACCAGGATGGTGGGTTGTTTTTAACTTTATTTCACAACCATCATCATCCATGACTAAAGCTCCTTTAATCCTTTGGTTAGTTGTCAGTGATTGTGATGCAAAGATCTAAACAAATTATTGTAAGCTTTTTTATAGTTGGGATTAAAAAACAGTATTATAAACTATGAATGCTTAAAAAGAGAATGTGTTCATGGTGCTCTGAATTGCTGATTTTGAAATTTTGATTTTGCTTGTAGTTCAGCAACCAGATCCAAATCAGCCGAAGCCTGAGGGAAGCGAGACGAGCGTGCTGAGGGGGGAGCCTCTCACTGCAGGTGTCCCCCGACCACCGTCACTGTTGGCCACCTTGCAGCGCTGGGGCACAGCACAGCCCAAATCCCCCTGCCTGACTGCCTTGGACACGACTGGGAAAGCCACCTACACTCTCACCTATGGCAAGTGTTAACAGAAAGCACTTGTGCTTGTGAGTTAGCTGTGGAATGTCACACACGTATCACAGCATAGACATACAGCTTGACAAATATTCCTGAGAAACCAGCACAGCTGGCAGATCAGTAGAACATTGACCTATATCAACTACCCATTCCTCCAGAGGGCCCCACTTACTGATGCGTGGTGACTGCCATTGCTCTGGGCTCGAGTGTTTGGAGCGTTCTATGTATGCATTCTGACCCATGTAGTTTAGTTTCGTCTTGTTTTCAACTTTGTGTAAGGGGAATCATGCAGTATGTATTTTTGTGTATGTGGCATCTTTTGGTTCCATACTATGTTTTCTTTTGTAACACAAATAGTAAGCATGTCTACAGCCTGATGAATCCACAGAGTGGACGTGATCCTGTCATCAGCACTCCAAGCAGAAGTGTTGCTAGGTTCAGAGCCCCTCACGCCCCCCACACATGAAGGGTAACTGCTGTCCTGACTGCGCACACTGTTGGCTTTACCTGCTTTTAAACAGGTGTTCTTTAGTTTATTCTCATCGAAGGGTATTATTTTATTGTGTGAATATACTAGAACTTATTTACACACTGCCGAGTAGATGGACATTTGTGTCGTTTCCACTTTGGGGCTATTGTATATAGTGCGGTTAGGAGCATGTTTATGTGAGTCTCTTGGTGAGAATATGTAGGCGTTTGTGCCAGGTATAAATGCAGAAGCAGAATTGTTCAGCATTAGGACATACTGCCGAGCAGTTTTCCAAAGGCAGTGCAGCAGTTTTCACTCCCACAGCCAGTGAGTACATGAGGAGTTCCAGTTACTCTTTTCTCACCAGCTTGTGATATTGTTTATTTCGTTACAGTCTTTGTTATAGGTTGTTGTAGCACAGGCTAATTTGCATTTGCCTGGTGACAAATTATTTTCATATGCTTATTGATTGGCATTGCATTGAATCTCTAGTTCAATTTGAATAGAATTAATGTTTTATAGGTTAAGAACATCCCAAATATGAAAATCCAAAATCCAAAATGCTCTAAAATCTGAAACTGCTTGAAGCTGACATGATGCTCAAAGAAAAAGGTCATTGAAACATTTTAGATTTCTGATTTTTGGACTTGTGATGTGATGCTCAACTGGGAAGTAAATATAATGCAAATATTCCAAAGCCTAAAAAAATTTGAAATCCCAACACTTCTGATCTCAAGCATTTCAGATAAGGGATACTCAACCTGTATTACAATTGTGGAATCTTCCGGTTTATGGCTATGGAATGTTTTCCCCTTTTAAAGGCTTTAATTTCTCTTAGTGATGTTTTCATACTTTGGAATACAGAAGTCTTGAGCATCTTTTATTAGATTTATTCCTATTACAAGTGCTATAATTTTTCATTTTCTCTACTGATTTGTTGCTTATATATATAAGTGCAATCTATATTATTTTAAAATGATGACTTTGTGCCAGGCGTGGTGGCTCACGCCTGTAATCCCAGCACTTTGGGAGGCTGAGGCAGGTGGATCACGAGGTCAGGAGACCAAGACCATCCTGGCTAACACGGTGAAACCCCGTCTCTACTAAAAAAAAGTACAAAAATTAGCCGGGCGTGGTGGCGGGCGCATGTAGTCCCAGCTACTTGGGAGGCTGAGGCAGGAGAATGGTGTGAACCCGGGAGGTGGAGCTTGCAGTGAGCTGAGATCGAACCACTGCACTCCAGCCTGGACGACAGAGCGAGACTCTGTCTCAAAATAAATAAATAAATAAAATAAATAAAAATAAAAAATGATGACTTTTTATCCAGTGATCTCACTGAGTTAGCTTATTAGTTCTTCGTTTACTCATAATTAGTTGTTTGTCTATATATCTTTTGTATTATCTGTCTACAAAAATCACATTATTGGTGAACAATGATAGTGTTATTTTGTCCTTTCCAATACTTATACTTTTATTCTTTTTTTTTTTTGCTTTTTTGCACAAGCTAGAACCTCCAGTACAGTGTGAAATAGAACAATGTTGAAGAGTGGGCATTCTTGCCTGTTTTTCCATCTGAGGAAAAGCCTGTGGTAATTAAGTATAATGTTTTCTGTAGTTTTGTTTGCTTGTTTGTTGGTAGAAACTCTGTCAGATTAAGACGGTTCTCTTCTCCTTGTTTGTTAGAAGTTGTTATCATGAGTTGGGACTGAATTTTGTCAAATGCTTTCTCTGCTGCTAGCAAGATGATCATATGGTTTTCCTCCTTCATTAATTTGGTGAATTATTTTGATTAATTTTCTAATGTAAAGCAGCCCTTCATTTGTAGAATAAATCCCACTTGGCTTTAATATTTTACCCTTTTAGCTGTACACCCAGGTTTGATTTGCCAATAAGTTGTTTAGGATTTTTACATCTGTTTTCATTAGAAAAATTGTTCTGTAATTCTTTAAGAAAGGCGCTCATTGCCAGGCTTTGATGAGTATGGCTAGCTCACAACCTCCAACTGTTAAATCAGCGTTCAAATCTAGGTCATGCTATTGGCAGGGCAGTCCCTGGCCGATGGCCGAGTAAGGCAGTGGGACAAGGGCCTACTTTCTGTTAGCATGGACTTTCCTTATAAGCAGCACTGGACTTGTGGAGACTGTCAGTTCTACACTGTGGCTTGACAGCTCCTCCTGCCCAGTCTTGCTACCTGTCTTTTGCTGTCACAGATTTGTATCCTCTAGGAATCCTTTTGACTGCCTGAGCCTGTCTCAGCGTCTGCTTTGCGAAGAACCCAGCCTGTGACACACTTCTTTTTTTTTTTTTTTAACGTTCTCCTTGGCTTGTAGTTTGTCTGCATTTATATACAGAGTGTAAGATATCACTACCATTGTGTTTATTTTTTTTTTTTTGAGACAAGGTTGTGCCCGGTCACCCAGGCTGGAGTGCAGGGACGTGAGCTCGGCTCACTGCAACCTCCACCCCCCAGGCTCAGGCGATCCTTCCACCTCAGCCTCCCTAGTATCTGGGACCACAGGCACACACCATCATGCTTGGGTACTTTTTTGTATTTTTAGTATAGTCGAGGTCTCGCCGTGTGGCCTGGGCTGGTCTCAAACTCCTGAGCTCCAGCAGTCTGCCCGCCTCAGCCTCCCAGAGTGCTGGGATTACAGGCGTGAGCTCCCATGCCCGGCCCATTGTTTTTTGTTTGTTTGTGTTTTTAATCAGTCGTACATTTCTATTCTTTTACTATGTACATTCCTTCCTGCGATTCTATATTTTCCTGGGTAATCATTTCCTTCTGGCCTGTGGAACTTCCTGTATGTTCATTATACTGTAGGTTTGCTGGCAACTTCATTTTTTAAGGTTATATTTCGTGGTTATTTATCTTCTTTCAGCAGTGCAAAGGTATGGTTACTGGCTTTTGAGAAGATGCCAGACCATTGTTACTCTCTTGACAGTAATGTGTATGGCTGCTTAAAAAAATGTTCTTTTTCTTTGAATTGCAGCCATCTTACTCTGACATATTTAGAGGTGATGTTCTTTGAACATTTCCTGTGATGTTCTTTGAAATTTTCAAGATGTCCACAGGGCTTCTTGAATCTGTAGAATGGTGTCTTTTATCTGTTTGAGAAAAATTATAGCCATCTTCTCTTCCTATTTTGCTTCTTCCTCATTTTTTTCTTCTCTCCTTCTGGGACTCCAGTTACACTTATACTTTTTTCACACATGCAAAGAGCTGTGTATTCCCCTACAACTGCCATTAGCTACCTCCAAAGTATATTTCCTACGTGGTTACTATACTAAAGCTCTCTCAGAATGTGAAGTCAAAACTGTCACATAACACAGTGCTGTACAACAGAGCAGAGCCTTAGATTTTGAGATTTTAAATTTTAAATTTCTGGGATTTCATGAGGAAAACAGAGGTTCTTCCCAAAATGGGGTCTGTGGTGCCTCCTCTGTTTCCCCCAAGGAGTCCCAGGCTGTTAAACCTTGAATATCTGCTTTTAAGCTGACTTTTAACCATAGTGCTCTTTTATTTTTTTATTTTTTTAATTAGTTATTATTTTTTTTTTTTCGAGATGGAGTTTTGCTCTTGTTGTCCAGGCTGGAGTGCAGTCGCGCGATCTCAGCTCGCCACAACCTCTGTCTCCCTGGTTCAAGCGATTCTCCTGCCTCAGCCACCCGAGTAGCTGGGATTACATGCATGCACCACCATGCCCGGCTAATTTTGTATTTTTATTAGAGACGGGGTTTCTCCATGTTGATCAGACTGGTCTCAAACTCCTGAACTCAGGTGATCCACCCGCCTCGGCCTCCCAGAGTGCTGAGATTACAGGTATGAGCCACCACGCCCAGCTTATTTTTTTTTTTTAATTTATTTTTTAATTTTTTTGAGGTGGAGTCTCACTCTGTCGCCCAGGCTGGAGTGCAGTGGCGTGATCTTGGCTCACTGCAACCTCCGCCTCCCAGGTTCAAGCAGTTCTCCTGCCTCAGCCTCCTGAGTAGCTAGGATTACAGGCGTGCACCTGGCTAGTTTTTTGTTTTTCTTTGTATTTTTAGTAGAGACGGGGTTTCATCATGTTGGCTAGGCTGGTCTTGAACCCCTGACCTTGTGATCCACCCATGTGAGCTTCCCAAAGTGCTGGGATTACAGGCATGAACCACTGCACCCAGCCCATAGTGCTTTTTTAAAAAAGTCCTTTTAAATCTCTTATTACCCAACTTCAGCCAGGATTTACGGCCAATATTTCTGAGTTTGGAACTTTACCAAAGGTAACCTCCTAGGTGAAAACAATAAACCTTAGCCAATAAGCTGTAGTATTGGGCACTTGGACTATTCCCAGATGTCCAGAGCATCCAATTCTGAGCTTGCAAAGGCTTTTAACTGCTCGAGATAACCTTTAGAGCTAACTACAACATGAACCCTCAAATTGCTGTTCACTCGATGGTGGAAACCAAGAGAAAGTACCTCCATGTGGTTACAAGTCAACTCCCAAGGACATTTTTCAACATGTGGTCTCTGGGCAAGATGAAGGAGCAGACAGTT